AGACAAGAAGGTATCACTTTTGTTTTATGGACTAGCTATCACTGTATAAGACAATGGTTGGGGCCTAATGAGGCTCTAAATTGGTAGTCAATTTGGAAACTAAACCTTCAGGATAACTTGGTAGCATAATGATATCACAACCATATGTTAAAGCCTTTTTAAAGCAATACTTTATATAAAAAAAAAAATGCTTGACTCGAGTCCCTTGCAGGTAAGACCCAGCTCCAGCCGCACTAACTAATCATGAATGTTCTTTTATTAACTATTAAAGTTGACTTCAAAAAACACCTCCATATCATTTTGTCAATTATACAAATTAAATAAATGCTGTGACTAAGGTATTCAACAGTATGATCAATAAGAACTGAGTAGTTTCTCGTGTTATTTTTCTTGTTGGATTCAAAGTAGGCCTGCAGTCAAGTAAAAAACCAGCCAACAACAATGCATCTATAATCTACAGTAAAATTATTGAGAGTTTACTCATCACTTAGGCCTATCTCAGTTTATACTAGTGTGGAAACTGGACAGTTGGTGTCTTTTGACTCCAGAATGAAATGGGACCTACTCCATCACAGTATGACAGTAAAAAAAACATAATTGTTCAGCTCTAGGATTTGATTTAAGTTGTTTGTACTAGACCTACCCATTTTATCTATTTTTTATGACTCAAAACAAATTTCCTTAAAAGGAAAAAATCAATAACCACATTCCTTAATAATTATATTTATTTTATCTGGACAATTTACATTAATCAATGTACACTTTACAACAAAGACATGCCAATTATGTGTGATAGCATTGAGTATACACGTATTAGAGAGGTCAGATAATGCTAATATATTAGTTGTTACCGATTTAGGCAACGTAGTTCGGGCCGCTGACGTTTGGGTCGCGGTAGTCTGTCAGTAGTGCAGTGCGCCTCTGAGGACCTTTCAGCCATTTAGTATAAATAATAATTATTAAACAACAAAACCACAAACAAACAAATTTCATCAACAAAAATCACATTTTACAACCTTCAATGAAAGCAATAATAAAAAACAACCAAATTGCGTTACCGGCAAGCCCGAGGTGGAGTAGTTCGGGCCGCTGACGCTATTCTGCAACAGCGCTGTTCAGGTAACGATAACCTCCATTGAGTGGCTACTCTAGTAGGTGTATACTCAATGGTGAAGATAGCAGTACAAGATTAAAAACCTACACTCAAGATAAATGACAAGATTAACATTCTAATCATTATACTACAGAAGATTATTACAAAATGACAAATGATGTTCAGTTGGTAATCTTAGAATAAATTGTTGGATTATTATGGGAAAATACTGACAATCAAATGTATTACAAAATTGGTGAATATAGTTTAATTAAAATTTGGGGTTTATTAAATTGTAAATTTAAATATATTTGAACCCTTTACGACAGTTTGATGAGTTTTCCTTGCCACACATAAAAAGACACTGATATGGTTTGTCAAGACCTGCTCCATATGATGCAACCCAGTAGGTGGCATCTGAACACGTATCAGTGAAATATTTCAAACTAGGGCAGTATAGAGGACATTGTCCATTAGGTGATTATTTAATGTTATATTCAATTCTATTTTAGTTGTTAGCGAATTTCCCTGTAGGGAAGTAGCTATTACCGTAGGTAGCACGGTAAGACCTAGGCCCAGGCAGGACCGATTTACTTAGGGGCGGTTTGGGAGCTCGGTATTAGCGCTAGTCCGCGACTAAATCCGGATGTTTCCGGTATTTTAGGCTGCCGCCTCGAAAACGGGTTTGTGAGCTCGGGATCAGTAAGGCGCGCGCCTAACTTGTGCAGGGATAATCTCGAGCCTAAATATTGTTGGTTTGGGAGTCAAGTAGACTTAGGCGCCAGCCTAAGAGATAGTCTCGGTGGGTTTGGGAGACCAATTTCGGGACTAAGAGATATGTTTTCGTCATAAAAATCAGTGAGTTTAGTCCCCAACTTTAGTCCTGCCAGGGGGCAGGTCTAAGTCGACATCATGCCGGTATTAGCTCATTAGCACGTTAATTGTTTACATATTAACTAAAAGAATGTTATATTGGAATTCGTTATTAAATTCCGAACATTTTCATTACTCTCAAAGTATATTTGATAAAACTTTTTTTTTAGTTTTCTGTTGTTCAAAATAAAACGAAAATCTTGCAGAAAGCTAAATCTAAATAATCTTAACGAGAGATTATTTGGTTTTTGTTTTTACTGTTAACTGCAATACAAATATGGACCCTAAATAGAATTTCTTTCAACTGAGAGTTTGGCTATAAGCACCCGTACCTCAATTATAAATATTTTATTAGTAAGGGAAACTACCTACGGTGTAGGTATGCTGCTACAGGGAGGGTAATAAAGTGTGTTTTTAACAAAATATTAACAGCTTTATAAAAAATAAATAAATTTGCCAAGTTTCATAAAAATATATCCATAAACGACCACACTAGAACAGTTAACTTATTTTCCATAAGAATCACATGGGAATTTAAAATTTACAATTTTACCAATAGTCTCTGTAGCCAATAACCGTACAAAACATTTTAAGATATTAATTTGTTTTTTGTACTCTTTAAAATACTCTTTACTCTTTAAATTACTCTTTAAAATATTTGAAAGACAAAGATTTATGTTATAGGGGTTAAAATTGAGAAAAAAACTATTTTTATCCTATACAACTCCGGGTTCCCTTGGTCTGATCATGCTGGTTCGCGAACTCATTAAGGAGAATCGCGCCTAACACTTTCATGCTAAATTTTATCAAAATCAGACAAAAATTACTCAAGTTATCACGTTTATGGACGTATATACATATAATACATTTATATATAGGCTATACATATATAAAATTTTGAACGAACAGTGTTTTTGGCCTCTAGGGACATCAGAATGGAAAAGTTTATCGGTCCCGGAACCAAGTGCTACCTACGGTAATAGATACTTCCCTAGGAAAATTAGATAAAAGAGTGTCATGTAAAAATAGATTTTAAATTGACAACAATTTTTTCTAAATACTGTATTAAAAGATTTTTTTTACATATATCTTGGCTTCACACAATCATAACCTCCGCAATTACTTTTTATTATTTTTTTGTCAATTCCCCTATATTATACTGGGAAATTACGTACTGTTTAATTTTGAAGCTTTTTATTGCATGAAACCGAGTTTCCGATGTTAATCCTATGTTGCTCTGTACGTATTTATAAGGTGTAGTACTTAAAAGACAACTAGTAGTACATAAGGACAACTGATTAAATAATTATAAATCGTAAAGTGATAATAACGTTAGATCTTAAAAGAATTTAATATAAACAATTACGGATCTTCAGTCATTGGGATGTAAAACAACGATCTTACAAAACTACATTTTTGCAATGGTACAATGCAGAAACATAAACCATAGTCTACTAATTAGCCACCATTGATATACCAAGATAAAATTGTATCCATCTTCAATAAGTGTTCATCTTTTGTTGTTGTAAACGGTAACGGGTTCTGCAATGGCCGTTGCCAACGTCAAAAACCTGAATTCCCCGCGATTCCCTGTCCATCTAGCCACGCTGCAACTTAGGCGCGACTATACTTGATCTACGACCATTTCAACTTAGGCGCGAGCTCCCAAGCCTGGTTTCTGGTCCGGGGACTAAAGTTAGGCGCGTCCAACACTAGGCGCGTACTAGCTGGGCTCGAGCTCCCAAACCGCCCCTTAAAGAAATTTGGTTTAAAGGTGTAAGGCGGATAAAGTTAAATGGGCTCGCAAACCAGTATGATCATGGGAATGGGGTTTTGTGGGGTAAAAATTGGGGTTTCTCATTTTTGGCCCTTAAAACATAAAATTTCACAATTTCTCTCTAAACCTTTTTAATGAGCTTAAAAAAACAAATAGGTACTGTAATTTAGTATATCAAACTGTTTTTGTACAGTTATTGGAAACGGAGAAAATTACAAAAATTTAAATTTAAAATTCCCATGTGTTATTCTTAAGGAGAATATTGTAAAATGTTGTAGTTTGCTTGTTTATGGATATTTGATAAAACTTTGCAAATTTATTTATTTTATACTAAACTATTAATATTTTACTAAAAACACACTGTATCAGTTTCCTTGTAGCAGCAAACCTAGGTACTCATTAAACCTAATGTTATTTAAATAGATTTAATTGAAAATCAATTAAGACAAATGGAAGTTTGCTTAGGCGGCAAGTTTGCTGCGGCGGGGTTATTTTTAAGTTCAACCAGTGACTTTCATTATATCTTAGTTTTGATTTGGCTAAGATTAAAGTAACTAATCAAGACTAGCACCAGTAGCACTAACACTTATAAAAAAAAAGTGTAGGGCATAACAAGGAATGAATGGTCTTTGCACAGCGACCATAATTGGAAAAAACACAACCGTAGCATAGTCTGGTGGGAGCTGACAAAAATCCCACCTTAAAGGGGTAAACAATTTGAACAAACATAAATCAAATTCTCATAAGTATACCTATACAATCTAGATGAATTCACACTAAATACACAATTCATCAACTGTTAAGAAAAATGTGCAGTCGAAGATATAAAATGAACCGAGCCAAACAGGATTAGGACTATTGTGGATGTAATTATTATTTTCAATCATATATCTTATATATTTAAACAAAATTGGGTTTTCTTTACAGAGTTCGTTTGGCTCTGCTGCCCGACCGATTTTCATGATTGAGGTCTCAAATTGTATTGTAATGTATGTCAATTTTAAATGTGAAATCAAATATTATTGCACTTTATTTTATGTTGTGTGACGTACATGTTACGCTGGACTGAATAAGACAAAAAGATTTTACAAAACTAGCTATGGAACATATCATATGGAGCAGGTCTCGACAAACCATATGGAACAGTGGTATTTAGTGATCATCTGTTGATGTTTGAAAAATATAAATAAATAAACGTTGGTTTCATGCAGAACTGTAGAAGCACAAACGCGGTAAGATTAACCAAATACACCTCACTTCCATACAATTGTTTACTCTGAGAATTTTCAACGTTAAGCACAGCTTTTGAAACGAAATGTATTTTACATATGTCATACATAGGCCTAAATGTATTTTTAAATATGCGTAACTAACCTAACTCGCCCACATGCAGTACTTCAATTAAGATTAATGATGGCCATGTTTTCACTCGGCCTGTGTGAGCACTTGCTCGGCCGAGCTCTCCACTATAAGCATGATAGACCCTTGGTCCTGACTATGAACACATTCCACCTGGTGACCAGCCCAGTCCTTGCGTTGACAGAATGTGGAGCAGTACGGCGTCCTGCGACACAGCGAACACTCAGCGAACGCATCTCTGTTGCAGTTGGCACACTGAAACACGAATACAACAGTTTGTTGTTGAGGTTAAAGACAATGTATAAATTCCCTGTACAACAAATTGCCTTCCAAAAGTGAAGGTTGTTGTTAAGATTTAACAAGACCAAGGTTTGGGCTGTTCCTTTGACATAGAACATAAAACTAATCTATCATTTGTTTTGACTGGATGGATGGTTTTCATTATTGAGTGGAATGTGCTTAGTTCATATTTTGTCAATAGTTCTGCCACATTGCATTATTTATATGGGAAATTGTCAAAAGTGTCACTGAATTCTCGGTTTCCCGGTGAGAGCTCCTTGCTCGTCTTTTGACACAAAGTATTATTTTGTTCACGTTTAAACCCGTAGAGCTAGCTGCCCAGTAACGTAGATACCCAGTCTTAGCTTTGCCACCCATAGACAACACACACTATCACACTATGGTGTTTTGACACTATCGTTTATTAAAATAACTCTGAAAAACAGATATTTAAAAATGTGCATACCTTTTTTGAGTCATTTGAATCGGATGTTGGCTGCAACCCCACTGTATTGATGGGATCCACTACATGTACTGTAGAGTCAAAAACAGTCCTAAAACAAAAAGATTATTGAGATCTTTAGGTTTTTTTCTAAAGAAAATCTACATCATCCAATATGCTAGAGCACAGAAATTGGTGAAATTTACCTGCATTACAGAAAAATGTTTATTTACATATTACTGAAAGACTTACCTACAGCTGCTAAAAGACTTTCATTAAAACCGAACGGCGAACATACAGGTTGCAGTAAAATAAATTCTGTAGCCAACAGCACAACTCGCTACCTCTTTTATCATGCAAAAACTCTCGACAAAAATCATTACGTACATCAGCATGACAATAATAATTATTTATGGTTGATATAATGTATTTATCTTCTGAAAAACATATTTACAATAACTTGAAACCACAATTACGTACATATACAATTCGGTGGGTGTTCAGAGACATCCGGGACTTAACTGAAGTTTCAGGGAGATCAGGAGGGGGTAAAGTTAATATTTTGAATAAGGCTCGTACCTGGTACAAGCCACCTGGGCCTCTACTCTGGCTGCTAGGACTGCTTGCTCCTTGTCTCTCTTAGCTTGCTCCTTCAGTTGTTCCTTCTCTGCTCTCCACTGTTCCTTGGCTTCCTCGATGGTCCTTCTCACTGTGTAGACAACCTTCACCATTCTTGATGACATCTGTTAACATATACTGTATCAATTCCAGTTTTGTAAGTTTAAGTGGGTTTTATTAGGATCAATGACTCTCAGTTGTGCATACCTTGTTGAATCCATGAACATTTTATGAACTATAATAGACATTTGCCTGTGTAAAATTTTATAGTTAGGCTTGCATGGTATTAGATTAACACAGATTTACATATATTTAAAATTAAATGTTTTATGACTTCTTCTTTGTTCAATAAGAAATGAGGTTATGTAGGCCGAATTGGTATGAATACAAATAGAACATTTTGATTTAAATATGTCTATTGTCCAGGGTAGGTAGTAGGTATAGTGCTTTAAACAAGATGCTCCTTGCTCCTTACACTGCTGCACTGTAAATATATCACTAAATATATTTATTTACAATAAGAACGGGTAACCAAAGCATAAACGTCCCAAATTTTCCACCAGTTCAAACAAATTAAATATTTTGTTTATTATTGTTCGATTCTTTATATTTTACTTACTTTAAAACTATTCTAACCCTATTATACAGAATAATGATTAAGTATAGCCTCTGGTCTAGTGGGAAAGAAAACAATAAAGCACACATAATTTACCCTGGAATAAAACCCAGTGGCGGTTCCAAGGGGGGGGGGGCTATCTCCCCCCCCTTGGAACCTGGAAAAATAAATTTAAACGTAAATTTCGTCCTTAAAACACGCGATGTTATAAAACAGACATCATCAATGTAGTTTTTATTAAACTTAATAAGTGATGACAGAGTAGTATTAAGTTTCACATAGATAAACTTTGTGGACAGTAGCACAACGAATAAAACAATATTACGCTATGGAAAGTAGTACAAATCATCCAATTTTTACAGCAGTCAGCTGTTGACATGCTACGGCAAAGGCAAGCACCTTTGCCGAGCGTGGTGGGGAAACAGCTGATTTCCTGATGTTCCATAGTTAGTAGACAAATTGTCTGCTAGCCGTTAACTTTACACAGGCATCAATCAGCAATCAGTGGTAGCACCAGTAGCCTATTACCATTATAAACAGTAGCCTATATAAACACTAGTGTTAAAGTTTATATAGTCAATGCTATTCCTGAATTCGATACTATACATATTGTGACAGATCTATGATATGGAGAAAAACGTAAGGTTAAAAAGCGTGCCTACTTGCTTGCATGGTGTTAAATATTTAGTAATTCAACTAAGGACATTTAATAAAATATTTATTTAATAACATATGAACTATATACAGTCAAATATAAACAATTAATCAAGTAGTATTAACATTCAAGTCAAGTTTTTAGTTCAGTTATTGAAAGGATACAACAGCTGATATGATGACATCACTGTCCAAAGTTCACTACAGCACTTCGTACTAGTCAGTTCAGTTTAGACTCACCTCTCTCACAGTACACAGTGCTTACCTTTTGGTTTAGTTCATATTAAATATTTTAATCTCTCTTTCTCTCTTACCGCTCCAAGTGCATTATTTCATCATTTCTCATTTAAATATGGATTCCAAATTTATAGTACCAAGTGTCAAGCTAGGATCCAAGAAGATATTTTTATTTAAAGTAAATGTGTTGTAAATTTTCGTGTACAGTCCAGAATATTCATGAGTAGTGAATTGCTTTCTTTTTATTAATGAAGAAGAGTTTTAATTTAAATCAGTGAAGAATTACATACTACACAACAATAGTCATTTCTCAACATCATCTTTCATCTGTGGTCCTTCGATTCTCGTCACTCTGGCCAGAGCCATCGCTTCTCTGCTCATCTTGTTCCTGTTCTACCAAAACCCTAATGGATCTTCAGTTTTAGGATCTAAAGGTATTTCTCACAATTTTACCTCTTAATACCATATTTAACATGGTCCTTCGAGCCGGATGTTTCCCAGCCTATGGAAAATAATCTACTGTGACTATTAAGTTTTGTATTTATTTGAACTGAATAAATTAATTGAATAAATCTGTCATCAACATTAAGTATCATTAACAAGAGGATTAAATATTTTTGATCACATTATTATCAATTTATTAAATTGTTGCAGTAATTTGTGAAATAACACATAAAGTTTTGTTGTCCCAGACAGAAAATTTTGTTCTCAGACTGTACTGTCTACAACTCCTGTATTTTCATGCATAGTTTGTCTATTCTCTATTGTGCATTATCGGGCTGCATCCTGTCTGCCCCCCTCTCTCCCCCCTGTAATGTGAAACAAGTTTCTCTCTTGTTGCTGAATATTCAGAAAATCATGGAAGTCATACCAACTTCACAGCTGATCAACACTAGCGCTGCTGATGGATAGAAATGAAAACTTAAATGTCATTATGCAAGACTTTGTTTATGTTTTCATAACCTCAATTGTTTGCTTACACTTTTAAATTAAAGTGACAGAAGAATGTTTATTAATACGGATTGAACATTTAATTACAGTTTGTGTTTGAAATAACATGTTTTATTGAATTTCAAATTTATTATCTGGAAATAATTGCAGGTAGATATTTTCTGGGACTTAAACTTTTTATAGGCCTATACTATGGCTGAATATTTCTCTTTGATTTCAAGTTGACTAATATTAATATTTAATACAATGAATCCTGGCTGTCTTTAAATAAGTTTTGCTCATTATAAACTTATTTTAATCTGCATTTATTTTTATTTTGGAATTTTATTGAATTTAAGACTTATTCAAAATGAGGTTCTCAACTTTTGTGAAGCAATCTGAGCTTGTGCTAGCCAGGCTTAAGTCAATTGAAGCAAAAGTGCTTGCTATCGAAAAGGAACCTATCACTCCTCAACTTATAACAAAGCTCACTCTTTTGGATTCCACCGCTACAGCCAAAAATAATGATTTTGACAAATTAGTGAATAAGTTGTTCGGCACTGTGCCTTTACCTGAGGAATTAGATGAAAGTGAAAATATCACTACAATTTCAACATTACAAGATGAAATAAGTGATCTCTATGTGTCTATTCACTCTTTGTGTGTGAACTTGATACCTTCCCCAAGCTCTAACCAGTCGAGCCAGCCAAACCTGGATGATTCCAATGCAGCTATCAGCCAAGTAGCTACAACTAAGGTTAGTGTACAGCTTCCTAAACTTCAACTTGGTACCTTCTCAGGTCAACATGAAAAGTGGATGGCGTTCAAAAATTTGTTTGAAAATACTATTCATAAAAATGATAGTATTTCTGGTGTTGAAAAAATGAGTTATTTGTTAAGCTGTCTTGAGGGAGAGGCACTTTCAGTTGTTAAAAACATCCCTATGACTAATGCTAATTATTTTATTGCATGGGAATCTCTACTTAAAAGGTATCAGAATACAAGATTACTAATCTCTCTTCATGTCAACAATGTGTTAGACTTACCAGTTCTTCACAATCCCTCAGTGAAGCAACTTAGAAGGTTTTTGTCTGTTTTAAATGAAAACATTGAAGCACTTAAAGCTCTAGATGAAGAAATTTCTCAGGAAAATTTAATTTTGACCTCTCACTTGTTAAGAAAATTTGATTCTGATTTTCGCCATCATTTTGAACAGAGTCGAAGTGATAACTCTGTAACTCCTAAGTTAGATGAGTTAACCAAGTACATTGAGTCTCACTGTGTAAATCTTGAAGCAGCTAATCTTACTAATGTGGGATCATCTCTTAAGGGTACCTTAGGCCACCACACTCAAGTAAAACCCCCTCAGCGCTCAAATAAATCGGCGCTTATTGCAACTCCTCGCACTGTTTGTACATTTTGCGCAGGTGCAGATCACAAAATCTATCAATGCAAAGGTTTTCTTAAATTGACTTCACAAGAAATGTATAATTTTGTTAAAGGCAAAAATTTGTGCACCAACTGTCTTGGCGATAAGCATAAGGTAAAGGAATGCAATTCATGGCGTACATGTTCTACGTGTAAAAGAAAACATCACTCTCTTTTGCATTTTATGGATTCTGAAAATAATCCCTCTCCTAATGTGTCTAAAGGTAACACAGACAAACGAGCTCCAAGTTCTGACTCAAATAAAAATGAATCTGGTTTTGTTGGTTTGACAAATACAGAGAACACAGTTCTTCTTGCCACTGCTTTAATTGTGGTAAAATCAAGCGAAGGTAAGACCCTAGTTTGTAGGGGAGTTTTAGATTCTGCTGCTCAGTCTACCTTCATTACTCAAAGATGTGCTCAGTCTTTAGGGATTAAGCGCTCTCATGCTAATAAAACGCTTATTAATGGCATCTCGTCTGCTCAGGTGAAAACAAAAGGGTTAACTCATGTCACTCTCCAGTCCCTTAGTGGATATGTATTGGCAAGATCTCACCCTGTCTTCATTTTGGATAATATCACTCCAGATTTACCTCGAGCTAAGATCACTCCTGAAGTTCGCTCACAGATGCAACATTTAATGTTAGCCGATCCTACTTTTGATAAACCCGCTCCTATTGATGTTCTAATTGGAGCTGACCTTTTTTCCTCCTCTGTGAAAGGCCAGTTTTTGTCACTTGGTGAGAATATGCCTGTAGCAATTGACACCATTTTTGGATATGCGCTCTTAGGATCGACCCCTGTCGCCTCAACTTGCAAAAATTCATTTCATGGATTAGTCACACTCTTAACCACCAATAGTTTGGATCTTCACACCTCTATCCAACAGTTTTGGGCTGTAGAGGAACCCCCTCTTACAAGCAAGCAATCCTTAGCCGAAGAAAAATGTGAAAAACATTTTGTATCTACGCACTCTCGCACTCCTGAAGGAAGATATATTGTCTCTTTGCCTTTCTCAGACGATCCGTCAACATTAGGCAACTCGAGCAAAATGGCAAAATCCCTATTCTGGTCTCTGGAGAATAAATTTCGTTCTAATCCTGATTTCAAGGAAACTTATGTTGATTTTATGAGAGATTACTTGTCTTCGGGACATATGACACTCTGTCAGTCACCACGTCTTAAAAATAATCCTCATTACTACCTTCCACATCATGGAATTTTTAAAGATGGAAAATTAAGGGTAGTATTCAACGCATCAGCACCTACATCAACATCTCTGTCTCTCAACAGTATTCTTCATCAAGGACCAAAACTCCACAACAACATATGTGACATCATTCTCAACTTTCGCCGACATGCGGTTGTTTTTTCATGCGACATCAAGCAGATGTTTCGACAAGTCCTTGTAAAGGAATCTGATCAGATATTTCAACTTATTTTCTGGAGAGAGAATGATAAAATGCCTCTTCAAATCTATCAGCTAGCGACTGTCACTTATGGGCTCACATCATCGCCCTACTTGGCAAATCGTGTCATTCAACAACTCATTATTGATGAAGGAAAAAATCATCCTCTAGCCGCAACTGCTCTAAAGGATCAGATTTATGTCGATGACGCCCTATTGGGTAGTAATTGCGTAGAAAACGCTCTTTTGTTGAAAAATGATGTGGTTCAGTTACTCAAAAAAGGAGGTTTCGAGTTAAGAAAATGGTCTTCGAATAATCCATTACTCTTACAGTCGATCCCTGAAGATCACAAAGAAAAACCTATTGGTTTTCGAGCTCCCGAACAACCAGTTCATAGTGTTTTAGGACTTAAATGGATTCCTAATGAAGATGTTTTTTCTTATTCTGTAGGAACTCAAAATATTAAGGAAACTCCTACAAAAAGAATTGTTTTAAGTGTGATATCACAGATCTATGACCCGTCAGGATGGTTAACTCCTGTAACCTTCTGGTCCAAATCCTTCATGCAATACTTATGGACACTTGGTCTCGATTGGGATGAACCCCTAGACGACAGCGTTATATCAGTTTGGAACAAGTTCGCCAATGAACTTCCATATATTGAAATGCTCAAGATACCTCGCTACGTGGGACTTTCTTCTGCTAAAGATATTCAGCTACATGCTTTTTCTGATGCAAGTGAAGCAGGATATTGTAGTTGTGTTTACCTGAGAGTTGTAAATTCACAAGGAATTATATCGACTTATCTTCTGATAGCGAAGTCAAGAGTCGCACCTCTGAAGCGTATTTCCATACCTCGCTTGGAGCTCTGCGGAGCACACCTGATGTCTAAGCTCCTAAATTACTGTATACAACTTCTCTCACCTCACTGCAAGATTAGTTCATACACAGCTTGGTGCGATTCCACAATCGTGCTTTCATGGATTGGCATGCCCTCTTATCGACTCAAGGTTTATGTGTCAAATCGAGTTGCAGAAATACAGGAAAACATCCCACCTTCATTTTGGCAACATATTTCATCACTAGAAAATCCAGCGGATGTTGGGTCAAGGGGTACCGCCCCACAAGATTTGATTAACCACACACTTTGGTGGAATGGACCTGTCTGGTTGTGTAACTCTGAAGAAAATTGGCCAAAGTCTGTCTGTAAATCTTTACCTGAAGAGTCTATCCCTGAAACTAAGATTCTCACAGTTAACACTCTCTCTGCTGTTCCGGATGAACCATTTTCTCTCCTCACTCGCTTCTCATCTTGGACAACACTACTTCATGTTTCCGCATACCTGCTGCGCTTCATTCATAACACCAGAAATAAAGTTAAACAAATTGGGAATTTAACTTCTCAGGAGATAAAAGAGGCTCATAACCTGATTTGTAAATTGGTTCAACGAGAATATTTTTCTGAAGAAATCTCATGTTTGAAATCCAATAAACCTTGCTCTGTACGCATTAGACGCCTAGCTCCTTATCTGGATAAAGATGGCCTCATTCGAGTAGGGGGAAGAATAAACAAGGCTGATATCTCTGAAGATCACAAACACCCCGTCTTGCTACCTAAAGGTCATAGGTTAGTTGATATTTTGATTGACCACCATCATGTCTTATATTTGCACTCTGGTCCAACTCTAACTCAGGCTATGCTGGCAAACCAGTACTGGATTCTGAGTGCTAGAAGCTTAATTAGATCTAGGATCTTTAAATGCATAAAATGTTTCAGATGTAAACCTCCTCATTCTTCTCCACTCATGGGGGAATTACCTATGAATCGAGTTACACCTTCAAGGCCATTTTCCATATCTGGTGTAGATTATGCAGGACACTTCTTTGTGAAGCAACATCTACTAAGACGAGTTCAACCTATCAAGGTTTATATTTGTATATTTATTTGCTTCTCTACTAAGGCGGTACACATAGAAGTAGTAACCGACCTAACAGCGGATGCCTATTTAGCCGCTCTTACCAGATTTGTCTCCAGACGAGGAATCGTTTCAGATATTCACTGTGACAATGCTACAAATTTCACAGGTGCATCCGAAAAACTCAGACGCAACTTTGAAAATTTAATCAAGGATTCCACAGTACAATGCTACGCTGAGAATTTCAATATTAAATTTCACTTCTTACCTCCACATGCACCTCATCAGGGAGGCCTTTGGGAGAGGGCCGTCAAAAGTGTGAAATTTCACCTAATAAGAGTCATTGGACAACAGACCCTGTCACTGGAAGAGTTTTCGACTTTAATCACCCGTATTGAAGGAATGATGAACTCTAGGCCTATAACTCCTCTTTCTTCTGATCCCTCGGACCTAGAAGCTTTGACGCCAGGTCATTTTTTAGTAGGTGGTCCTCTTATGACACCTCTTGAACCTGACTTGCGTAGCATTCCTATCAACCGATTAAAACGCTGGCAGTTAGTCCAACAGTTCAGTCAACATATCTGGGCTCGCTGGCAGAAAGAGTATCTGTACACTCTTCAAGAAAGAAATAAATGGGTCAACCCCAAGAAGAATATTGAAGTCAATGACTTGGTTGTCATTCATGAAGACAACTTGCCTCCACTCTCCTGGAAGCTTGGACGAGTTCTCTCCGTTTCACCTGGTACTGATGGAATAGTACGGGTCGTGCACCTGAAGACCGCAAGTGGACACCTCTCTCGTCCTGTGACAAAGGTGTCTGTCCTTCCTATGGAATAGTGACGAGGAGTTACCACCCCCCTTTTTTATTGATTTTCTCATTTTTTGTGTTGTTTTCAGAACCCAGGGGTTCAGGGGGGGCCGGTATGTTAAATATTTAGTAATTCAACTAAGGACATTTAATAAAATATTTATTTAATAACATATGAACTATATACAGTCAAATATAAACAATTAATCAAGTAGTATTAACATTCAAGTCAAGTTTTTAGTTCAGTTATTGAAAGGATACAACAGCTGATATGATGACATCACTGTCCAAAGTTCACTACAGCACTTCGTACTAGTCAGTTCAGTTTAGACTCACCTCTCTCACAGTACACAGTGCTTACCTTTTGGTTTAGTTCATATTAAATATTTTAATCTCTCTTTCTCTCTTACCGCTCCAAGTGCATTATTTCATCATTTCTCATTTAAATATGGATTCCAAATTTATAGTACCAAGTGTCAAGCTAGGATCCAAGAAGATATTTTTATTTAAAGTAAATGTGTTGTAAATTTTCGTGTACAGTCCAGAATATTCATGAGTAGTGAATTGCTTTCTTTTTATTAATGAAGAAGAGTTTTAATTTAAATCAGTGAAGAATTACATACTACACAACAATAGTCATTTCTCAACATCATCTTTCATCTGTGGTCCTTCGATTCTCGTCACTCTGGCCAGAGCCATCGCTTCTCTGCTCATCTTGTTCCTGTTCTACCAAAACCCTAATGGATCTTCAGTTTTAGGATCTAAAGGTATTTCTCACAATTTTACCTCTTAATACCATATTTAACACATGGCAAATATATAACGGGTGAAATTGGAGGTTTTAGGACAATTGGGTACAGTTCTAGCCGTTAGAAATGGCTTTATAAAGTCACCATACGGCTTTTACGATATATGGCTTCGTAGTCTACAGTACGCATATGTTTTGAAATTCATGAATGGAAGTTCGTCATAGTTTGATTTTTTAAATGTCTACTTGCTCATGACACAGACAAAATAACAGGTGAAATGGGAGGTTTTTGGACAGTTGGACAAAGATACAGACATTAATAATGGCTTGAGAAAGTCAGTAAATAGCTCTTAGGAGGATATGGCCGTAGCCTACAATATGTTTAGAGAATTATGAATGCAATCGTCATAGTTGTTTTAAAAAATGTCTACTTATTAATGACAAATAAATGAGGAAATGGGAGGTTTTGCACACAGTTCTAGACGTTAAAACTGGCTGTAGAAAAAGTCACTCAACGGCTTTTAGGAGGATATGGCCGTAGTCTACAGTGTGTTTTGAAATTCATGAATGCAATCGTCATAGTTTAATTATTAAAATTTCTATTTGCTCATGACAAACAACAGGTGAAATAGGAGTTTATGAACAATTGGGCACGGTTTTAGGTGTTATAAATGGCTTTAGAAAGTCACCAACTGGCTTTGAAAATTCCAAATTTTTCCGGGGGGGGGGATCCCCAGACCCCCCGGCTATGTTGGGGGGTGCTCCCCCCAAGCCCCCCCCCTTGACAAGGTCCTAGAACCGCCACTGAAAAACCAACAATGTTTTCAACATCAGCCCACTCTAACCCCTCACATTGTACTAGGTTGTTACATACATTGTAGAACACACATAAAAAAGTTTCAGATTTTACAATAAGAAGTCTAGGCCTACTTACACTATTCAAAGTCTCTGTCGAAACCTTGCGCTATGACAGCTAAGATGTGCTTGAAAATAATATTGTAGTTAACCACCATAGGTTTCACATATCATCAGTAATATACAACCAACATCACTAAAGTGAAAAGAAAAACATGAACAACAAACTGAAGTCAAACTGCACAAACCTCGTCGAGTTTCTTGAACAATTCTGCAGTTGACGCCCCCTCGCCGCCAGGTGGGGAGGTGTTTGTGACGGTCGCAGTCACTGACACGATGGGAGTTACACTGGCTGCGGAGGTTGACACTGTGGCGTTCTCTTCCACCATCGCCTCTGTCACAAACTGGCTTGAGTTCCACGAGTCCTTGATGCCCAGGATTTCCGCAGCTAGAACAGAACATTAGTGTCCCAATTCAAACTTCACAATTGTTTTATTGAAATGAGAGGTTATTTGCCATTTGCATATGACTATCAGGCCTGTGCGTAGAACGTTTCACTATTGGCAGAACTGGGCATTCTGTCCCCACGTTATTGCCACTTAAAAAAAATTGCATTGTACAGTAGTTGAATTGAGCCACCAACAGATTGCGTTGATGTAAATTATTAACCGCAGACTTTCTAACCAATTCGAACTAATAAGATGACTTGTTGTTGAAATAACTTAGTATTTTTGATCTCAGTACCTAACCAAAAATATGGAAGAAAATAGAATTTTACTTTGATTGGCTCATTCAACTAAGTTTTTTTTCATAAAAAATTGGCGACAGTTGGTCCAGATGAATGGGATGTCTACCGGTACTTTGGTATCTAAAAGTCAAAGGTAGTATGTACTAACGAGCAAAGTGAAATAAGTGAGCCAGTACAGAAGGCCTACATAAATGAATTATTAAAAGATTTGTTCAAGATAGGCCAGGATTTTTAATTGTAGAAGGAGGATAGCAGCTAGCTTACCTTGAAGAAGTGTAGGTAGGCCAAATACAACAATGTCTGTCACTTTCAATATTTAACATTTCTCACCAACAGGCTTTTGTATCGATTACTGTCGATGTATTTATTTTTCTACTCTTATTATAAGATTGATTTATGGGACAAGTACTCAAGATAATTACATCCAAAAGTTTCAAAGCAGTTAAAATATTATTTTCGCTACACTACTGTAAAATGACCTGTTTTCGTTATATGTTTAAATATCACCTACGAAAATTCATCATGTTACATTGTTTACTGTGCAAAAGTTATATTTACAATCTGTTTATGTTCCTAACTGTAATAAAGAAATATCCAGATGCCTGTTTTAATGAAGGAACTAATTAGTCTTTGAAGTTAAGCGAACAAACATGGTCTGAAATATGTAATGACTCATTTTCTACTCTTATGAAATAATAACTATTTGATGGATCAATGGTTTTGATAACTTTTTTACAGTAAAGGTTTTTGAACAGTTTTGTTTACCTCCGGTTGAGTCGCAACTGTCTTCACCGTTGCTCTCCACATGTTCCCGAGACTTGACTTTCCTGGGACGCCCCTCTCCGTCTGATGACCCTTCAATTCTCTTGCGTCTCTTGTAAGGGGTGAACAACCTCACAGGACCAGTCTGTAAACCAATATATACACTTGACCTTGAACACAATGGATATTTTGACTACAAAGGAGACAAAGGATTTAGCAATAAACTACTGGTTCACCTAAGAAAAAAAAGGGAAACATTTTTTTTACGATTTAATGCAAATTGTTTATGTTAATGACCAATAAAGTTTTGAATTAAGTTAAATATGCAATAGGCCTACTTTCCCTAAATCAACCTTTAAATGGCAACCATAAATCATCTAGAAAGTTGTTCGCAAGGATCTGTCCTGCATCCGTCATTTTGGCTTTAAAATATTAACTGAAATACTTACAGCAGAATCGTCGTCACAGCATGCGGCGCAAGTGCAACTCGTTGCGTGGGGAGTCAATATTCCCTCATCAATGAGTGTCTGCAAGCTGCGTCCACCAAATCTGACGCAGAGAAACAAATATACTTTTAGGGATATAAGAGTTCAGAAAAAACAAATCAGTAATAAGTGTGGGTCACATGACTCACTTTTTTCTGTAACCTGAAGATTGGAAGTAGGCCTAGATGTTTACTAAAAAAATTAATCCCTCAATATTTTTAGTAGACTTAGGCCACTCAATTTTGACATGTTCAGACTTAGAAGTGGTCCATGTTACATTGCTAGTAAAAAGATAAATGGTATTTATTCTACTTTTTAACACATTCGCGGCGGCACGTCAAATGGCGGGCGTATCCCCAGTGCGGCGGAGCCCTCAGCGTCAAACAAACCCGATTGCTGCGTGTGATTGGCTTTCCAATTTCAGTCTGACGAATGGCAAATAACGTGTGAGGATGTCCTGCTTTACAACGAGAGTCGACGTAGTTCGCTAAACACCCACAGATGGCAGCACTGCTTGGAACATAGCCGGTCCCTTTGGAATTGTATTGCCAAATGGAGGGAAAAAGACGGGACAAAAAGTAGCTTATTGAGATTGCCAGACGGGGATTTTACGGGGAAATTTACTACCTACCTACACAACACCAAATACAGTATACTATTGAGCAGTGCTGTGCAAGGTTTCAAGTTTCTAGCTCTAATCCTGGCTTAAAAATAAATCATTTCGTACTGCATTGCAGCTTGGGAGCAATCGCACCCACCAGGATGGCATTAGGGTTCCGTATGGGAGCGATCGCTCCCATGCCGCCGCGAACGTGTTCAAAACAATTCTGATATCTCAGTGAAAAAAAACCTCATTCTGACCTACTAAATTAACTTATCTTATAAAAGTGTTTTCTATTGAGAAGATACAACTATTGTACTGGTAAGCCTGCTCTTCCTGTCAAAAACCTAAAACCACCGATCTCATCTAATAATTAAGGCTGTAAGACACAGTTGTAACAAATAGTTTATATACAAGACACTATCAATTACAGCCATTTTGACAAAATTATACATCACTTGTAAGATAGCCGAAATAAGCCTGCGACACCCCCAGAACATTTGGGTCTAAGGCTACCAGTGCGTAGGTCTATATTGTTACCTGATACTTCTCTTCCAGTCCTTGCTGGAAGCCCGACCACAGAGAGCCTCAAACTCGCTAGGAGTGTACCAGTTGTCCTCTAGTTTGATGCAGCGTCCCCGACCGCCAGAGCCGAACCTACTCTTGTGTAGCTCTGCATTTGTTGTCTGGAACAAACAAGTCATTCTTCTCAGAGCTGAAATGCGCCTATATCCTCAATCAATAATATAAGGCAATTTTCCTTCTCTGAGCTGTTATGAGCCTTCTGGTTAAAAATAAATATTCCTTAAAAATATAAATCGGAAATTTAATTTTCTGGATTTTGACAAATAGAAATCGTTATGGATTACATCAATTGAACACCTCCTAATTGTTAATGTAAGAATTAATTAAATATATTTAAACACCTATTTTTGTCAGACATTTCAAAAGAATAGCCTATAAGCTAAGTTAGTTTCTTAAATATAAGATAGTTTCTTAAATATGGATGTCATTTATTATTATGATTGGCAACTGGTTCAGGACTCGTTTTGGTGTAAAACACCATAGCTAGCTTTAGGTAATTGTCAATTTGCTCGGTTGGAGACTTGGTCAAATAGCAATATTTAGAACAATAGATAGCCTAAGAAGTCAAGGTCCAAACAAAGTCCAAAGGTCAAACCCTGGAAACAAGACGACGAGGCAGTCTATGTTATACTTCAAAACGCTAGTTCACATAGTGAGTTATCGAATTCCGTATAATTTGTGTAGGCCAGTGTCTATAATTCTTTGTAAGTTATTATATTGAATTTAAGCCTCCTGATCGCATTTAAATAATAAGAATTGGTGTAAATACCTGCATTTATGTGATCAAATGTGTTGCTAAATGGCAACCGGTACGACTCACATAGGAGTAATCGTCAGAGGTATTTAAACCAATTATTAGTTAGTATAAAGTAGCCTATAACACTATATATAGGCCTATACTAACTAAATAAATACACTGTGACATATAGGCTACATTGCAAAATTAAATATACTAACAGGCCTGTTGTGACAATGAAACCAGTCAGTTTGTCCCATGTTTATCAGTGTAGTCACACTGATTAGCACAAGACACCCAGACACTCATCCTAACTCCAGCAGATTTTAGTTTAGCCTCATAATGATAGCGCTTGGCTGTTTAAGATTAACACAGCAAGCTAGATGCATAGCTTGTTTAGTTGTATCTAGGTAGCCTAAATCTATTTTTTTACTGGTTTCAGGAGAGGGCATGCAAAATTAAACTGTGTAGGCCTGCAATATAAAGGTCTATTTAAAAAAATAGAAACAAATATACAGGAATCACTTAACTTACTACTACTTAGGCTAATCTAGTTATTTTTAAACTTTGGACATATAAAACCCCTTCTCCAAAACCTACAGACAGAAAATGCATCAGTGATTGTAGGAGGCCCTAAACAATAGAGAAGTAAGTTACGTCATAGATAAAACATACTCCCTTAGTAGATTTCTCATCCTTATGGAACAGCTGAAGACAATTTTATTGTTAGTTCTGTACGGTTTATGTAGAGGTCGTGTTTTGTTTACAATTTGTTTCCTGTTATTACAGCCATTTAAAACCTCGTTTAACCAAATAATACGATCTAAAAATAAACAATAACTTGTCCCCTAGTTTTTATATAACCAAACAGTAAAGCACAAATAAAGAAATTAATCCTAAAATAATAGAAACAAAGTTTCGTTGACACTAGCGCCCGTGTGTCACGTACATGAACTAGACACGAAAAACGTGCTTCAAAATTTACAATGGGATGAGAGTTACTTGTGTTGGTTAGTCTATGGTTACGTCACATATCTGTGAAAACCAAACTGCGCTACATGACAGGCTGTGCTTTATATGTGGAAGAGACTACCTACGGAAAAACATCTGTTCATGCAAGTGTGTCATAAATACAAAGTTAGGCTTCCGTGCCAGACTAAACGTATCCAAACAAGAGGAAGACGACTACTTTGTCCATGCCATTACTAGATTTTATTTAGACGTACAATAAATGGGAAACTACAATTAACAAATCTTACTTTGCACCGGACAGGCAGTATGGGCATGCTGGCGTATTCTGTCCATGAGGAAGTACAGGTGTGAGACGTAGACGAATCGTCAGCTCCATCCTGGATCACTATATGAGTAGCCTTTAGAGTACCATTCTGAAAATTGATAAAAATATATTATAACAACCTCACCTAAGCTTACTTTAAAATATATCAATTATACCCCTGCCGCAGCAAACCTGCTGAGTTTCAATTTGTCTAATTGGATTCATACAAAAATATTTCCATAAAAAGACATGTTATATTTATTTTCCATTTTTTAGATTTAACAAGTAGCCTACCTACTTAAGTTTGCTGCTATGGGGAACGTAAAAAGTGATTTTTAACCAAATGTTATAATGTAGTAAACGGTGAAAAGATCAATTTGCCAAATTTTTACAACATATATTCATAAAAAAGTAGAAACTACAACAGTTTACATAATTTCCCCTCTTTAATAGTTAATAGGCTTTAATAGTTGGGTAGTTAAATATATTTGATGAATTTTATACTACGGTAACAGTAGGTTAGGTACATAAAACAGATGGATTAAGTTAACTTAGCCTCAAAACGGACTCAAAACATGATGACTTGGCTACAATTTAAATTGGTTTGATACTAAACAAGTTAGCCTGAGTAAACTTAACACTCCATTTCAATAAGTTAAGGTTTGGCAACTTAAATTAGGCCTAACTTAACTTAAGTTACATGTATAAGTAGCCTATGTATGCAAGTTATTAAGAAGACAAAAACTTGTAATTAATTAGGTAGTTCTATTGATACCTACTTCCGTTCTCACCCATGACCTGAGTGTGTCAGAGTCTTTGTCTTGACGCCCATCGCAAATGCAGGAGTTGTCCACACAAAGCAACGGCTTGAAATGTGCTGTGGCCCCTGATAACTGTCAACATAAATTCCATCAATTAGTTTTTTTTTTTGTAAATAATGGTCCATAAGTTACCCTGTTCTTGTTACTACCTAACGTCATTAACCCTCCCAGTGTTACTTGACGAAAATTCGACAAGCAGCACACTTTGTGTAGTGTTACTTGTCGATTTTTCGACACGCAGACATCGTTTACGGCGAAGGCTCTATGACTGACTGAATCGGATTGAACTGGATCGAGTTAGGTATCGTTCTTTCCGTAATATTCTAAGCTTTCTCCAGAGGTCTGTCTCTAAGCGCTATTCATTTTAGTTCCGAAAATATTGTAGCAGACAGCTGACGTGCGTGTATTTGTAAACAGCTAGGTTCCCCCGGACCGATGACTGATGTGTTTTATTACGTTTATCATTGTTTTAGTGTTAAAAATCAAAAGTAGTGATATACGTGGTGCATTATAAGAAGATTTAAGTGGTTTTGAAGTGCTGGTTGATGATCCTGAAGAAGTAGGTAGTGATATTGATGTAAATTATCAGCCAGATTCCTAGCTATGGTTAGGCTATGCATTCTTAGCTAAACGCTATGTACTGAAATCAGTTTTTGCCCATAACTTATTTATTTGCAAATCTACTTCCTTATATTATTATATATTTGTAATCCTCATAAAATTTAGAACAAAGTGGCTATTTTCAAATATTTATAGGCCTATAATTTATACAATTTCATTGAGCGCGAACTTATTTTTTTTTGAAAATTTTTGAAATTATATTTTTTTTACCTAAAAATTTTTTTTTGAAAAAATGTTCCTTATGTTTTATATATAATATTGAAGCCCATGATTTTCCAAACAAAATGGTATATAGAACATTAGAATTAACATTGTTTTAAGCTTCTCAGATCCGTTTTAATAAAACCTTGCAAATGCGCCAAAAATAGGTGGACATTAAGGCCTAAACTATGGACACTTGGAGGGTTAAATGAACGTCTGGGTTCATAAGCAACGCTTGGAATGGAACCAGCAACTTTCAGATAACTTGCGCTTAGCAAATAAGTTAGGCCTACTAATACCACTCGGTAATTCTTTATTAGTAGGTAGGCCTACAGTAACTTAACTTTATTTAGTCCAAAAAATTGTTACAGTAAGAACTTAAGTTAACCTTTAAGCACTTTATTTAAAAAGGGTAACTCCAGACATTTAACACAACGTAGGGCCTTAGCAGTTATCCCCTACCGTAACTTGGGGGATAACTGCTAAGTTAGGTTAACTTATGTTATGAAATTTGCTCTCAAACTCTTCCCCAAAATATATAGGGTTAACCAAGTAATTGGTAAGGTCAGTTAGAAGTAAGGCTGTCACAGTCTGATCATTACGGTAATTTGAATAGTTCAGAGAAAAATAAAAATGACATAACAGGCCTAGGCTAGCCTAGCCTAATTTAAAAACTAAATTATGATTAAAACTAAGCATCGCGATAGTGGTTTTGTTTACATAATTCAATGCAATAAGAATAAGTTAGGGTTCCTGAAATGAAAATAAATCCTGGTCGGGTCGGCTACACAACTTTTAAGTACTGTACCGTAAGTTAAATTAAATCTTACTTGGATTTGGTCTGGAGTGATGACGTTGAAGGTTGTCCCAGATGAAACATTTATTAAAGATCCAACCGGTAATGATACAGGAACAGCAGAAGACACAGAAACAGATTCTACTGCTGAGACCGAAACAGTTTTGTGTTCTTCCGAAGATAAATTTCCATTGCCCTCGGTTTCGTTCGTCAATGATTCGGCCATGTCCGGTATTACGACTGGCTCCGAAGTTTGATCGTGCATTTACTCAACAAAAAATGGCGGGAACCATTTCCAGTACTTACGATAACAGATAAAAGTCTTATTAAGCTATTTTAAAAACAAGTGGACATAGATTATACATAACACCACTCATTTAAATAATCTTAAGTGTTCCCATCCCGTAACATCACAAAGCTTCGCCCAATAATGGCTGCTCTTCACCCTTTTGTGCTGTGCGCTGAGCGCAAGTGCTCAAATACATGCCGCTTGGAGCAGCACATTTCCACATCTTTTGAAGAGCCAAATCATTATTTTTACTACAATTATTTATTTAAGCACAAAGTTATTCAATTTGATTAATAAGCTTACTTTATTTGGTACTTATTTTTTATAAGAGGCACGTTGATGTACGATAACCGATAAGAATGTAAGTAAAAGGAATGAAATAACAAGTTACAAAACAGAGTTCAGAAGCAAAAAAGAAGGGGGAAATTTCAGGGAAATTACTATAATTGATAAGGGTTGGTTTTGGTTTGAATATTATTCAAACATTCTTTTTAACTTTGAAACTTTATAAAATGTATTGAATTTTCAATTTTCCAAGTCCATCAAGGCCTCAGAGATATCATTAATCAAATCAAATCAAGATATATTTCCACAAAAAACATTTTTCAAAAATAAAATACAATGATATATTATTGGTTTTGATGCATTACATAAATTGTTTATAACAATTAAGGTAACAAGTTAAAGTTAAATTAAAAAAGTAATTTAAAAAAGTTGAAACTTAAATACTAATTGAAAGTCAATCAATTAATTATTCATCTTCTGCTTAACGAAAACTACAGTAAATAACCATAATATTCTCTTATCGGTAATATACTAATGTATTTTTTATATATAATCAGCCTCTTGGTTACAAATTAATAGTTAAGTGTAATTAATACTATTGAACTACATCATCTCTATATATTTACAATTTGCAATAATTCAAAGAATTATTTATTTTATTTTATTTTACATACCAACAGACATATGAAATGTTATAAACTATATAAAAACATTTATCTTAAGTGACTGTAACATATAGAATTCAAATACATTAATCACAACAATTTATTCAGTCAAACCATTTATCATAGACTAAAGGAACCAATTAAATAGTCTATTGATTGTCTGTGCATATATTAGTTGTCTATAATCTTAAGTTCAGGTTTACTCTAAGTATAAGCTATAATTAATTATCAAAGGGCTAAATTTATAATATTAATGCCTATATTATAAAGAATTGGTTAAAAAAACAAACATAATAGCAAGTGCACACTTCGGGAATATTACTGTACATTATAAGGTGACCAATCTATGATGTACTATGATGCTTGAATTAAATCTATTTGGTTGAATATTTGGGTGGCCCAAAACTATCACGCATAATCAATTAATTAATCATATATTTTTTTAATTGCTTAGACATTCAACAAGTTTGAACTAAATCAGTATGACAACTGATAGTTCTACATATATGATTCTTCATTTTGGACATAAATATGATTTCATGGAGTTTTTCCTGCTCTGCCTATTATTGTGAAACAGTTGGTTTGCAGCTTGATTTACTACTTATGTTCTGTAGGCTGCTGTTTCAAAGTTACATGATTTTCTATTGTTAACAATGGGTCAAGCTCCCCCCCCTTGCAAGCAGTTTAGCAGGGAAAGCTAAGTGGTTCAAGCCTGGAGTCTTTCTTCTAATGAGCAGAGTTCATCTAATGGTTTAAACATGCAGCCTCTTTGTCTTGCTAATGCTTTACAAATACTACTTGCTTCATCTCCTTCATGCACTGCATCTTCCCTGCATTAGACAAAGGTGGTTTTTTTTATTTTACAAAAGTTAAAGATTTTGAAAATAGATCTAAATAAGTGTTTGCTTTTGATGGAATCAAGTAAAAAACTATTGTTCAATTATATTTCAAGCACCCCTCGAGGGAGGGGAAGCCTATGTGAGTTGAGTTTGACACTTAGAAGCATCTCACAATTTTTGATGGTCTAATAATATGTATTGGTTGAATACATTTTGTGTATGAAATGAGAATAGATTATGTACAGGGTGTCCCACGAAGAGGTTTAAACGTTTGATTTTATATTTCTTGCCCATTTATAGACCGAACATTTTGAAACTTTACACAATTTATAAAGTAGGTTTTAAAAAAAATTTTGGGAAAGATTCATCTCCCTAACCCTAGTAGAAACAAAATGGTGGCATATCAAATGTTTTTATTAACTAATTGTATTATATAAATTAATTTATTATTAATTTTTAACTAGTGATGGATAACAGTTTGAATAAATTTGGTCTCTACTTTAGGTTTTCACCAGGCTATGGTATAATTTCCTGATCAAAATCCTATTTCCATAGGATGCAATAATACAAATATTTTACAAAACCAAAAACACTATTTTTAATGTGTTTAAAGTATCATTTTTCAAAATGCCACCATTTTGTTTTAAACAAGATGTAGGGAGCTGAAATTGTGCAAGAATATTTTTAAAACATACTTCATAAATTGTGTAAAGTTTCAAAATGTTCCGAGCACAAATGGGCAAGTAATCTAAAATCAAACGATTAAACCCCTTCGTGGGGCACCCTGTATATATCGGTATATATTGTATTATGTTGTATATATTGTATTATGTTGTATATATTGTATTATGTTGTATATATTGTATTATGTTGTATACACTGTATATTTTATTTATTTATTATAAATGTATTGTCGATTTTTTTTAATTCTTGATATGTCCCAAACCCCAGATGAGGTCACCTTACACCTTGTTGTAAACCACAACGTAAATAATACATTTATTTATCGTTATCACCAATTATCAGTTAAGTATCAAAATCAATTAAGTAAGGGATTTAATAAGTTTAGCTTTTATAGGTTTGAAACATGTTATTTTTAAATTTCTGTACACAATTTAAAAAAGTTATTTAATAAGTGAAAATTACTGAAAGCCTTGTTCAATCTACCTTATTCTGTAACCTGCACAAGAATTGCATTTCAATTAATTGTGTTTTCTGAAGGATAAACACAAAAGTCAAAAAACTAAAACGACTTGTTTTTAAAATTTATTGAGAGATTTGAACTTAAGTTTATTGATAATGAAATGAAATGTTCTCTATGACTTTTATAAAATCGTTCCTTATATAAAATAACCATTACAGTTGGGACATAACAGTTTTTTTCTTATTTAGAGAGTTTAAATTTGTAAAATAGTTTTACCAAATTGTATAGGATGAGAGCGTAAAAAGGATACTAGTGTTCTTTTTTTCAAGTAGCCTATCTTTCTGTATTATATTACATATTAAAATGGATTCTTCCCCAGGGACTTGTGGTCTTAATGAGCATCTATATATCCTGCTGTGTCAAGTAGCTTGTTCCAGGCAGCCTCTGTGCGGCTGACAAGTTAATAGATAAGCTTACATTTCATCTAACTTAGCCAACATTGCCTTCCTGCACACAGGATATTGGTAACCGATTACTCTACCTTTCAGTAGTCTCCTGATAAAGTTTATTATTTATTAGAACTATAGTGAGAAATCCTATTTAGGAGACTGCATGATATAAGGTGCTGAGTTGGAAAATCTTAGATATATTTAACTGGAAGGAAAACGAGAAACTTTGGAATGTTTAGTATAATGGGTTTTTTTATAAGTGATGACTCAACTTAGATCATCAAAAGAGTTTTTGATTTAAAGAATTTTTACAAAAATCCAGGGAAATATTAAATATAGAATAAAAGTAAATAAATATAGGTACCGGTTATGAAAAAAATTTACAACCCCAACTATAGGTTTAGTATTTGTGTGGAGTTACTATATGTGTAATCTAAGAATATTTAATTTAGAACACAATACTTGAAAAGACCCTGTTGAAAAAAATTAACCTACACATTTTACTTTTACAAATGTTACAGGTAGGTTAGTTAAAATAATTTATAAATAAAATACTTTTTGAAAATTCCACGTTTTTTAACACACTAAAAAGTATAAATTATTTTTCTAATTTTTAGTCTTTAATGTGTAAATATATTAAATCTATTTTTTATGGCCTGTTAATACATAACCAAAACCTTATTATCTTAAATCAGATGTTTTATCTTTACTTTGAAATGATTGTCTATATAAATAAAATTAGAGTTTTGTCTGTACATTGCTCAGAATTATATATTTTTAGGTTATTTTTACGTCTTATACATTAAATGAGCAGAAACGAGTCTTATCTCAATTTCTGTCTGTCTGTCTGTCTGTCTTTCCCTTTGTCTGTAACACTCAAGATGGCATTTTACGCTATCTTCTCCTGGAAAACGAGAGTACCTATCAAGATCCAAGTAATTTTAATGTATTCACTGGATTGGCGAGATTGTCTTTAGCCATTAAAATATGGCCTCACTACTTTGTAAATAATATTACGAACGTTCAAAAATGTAGTTTTGTGCGATTTATGTCAAGTTTTCGTCCAATTTTTATTGCATAATCATCTATGAAATAACGAACAGCTGTTCGGATCAAGATTATTTTTCCTAGCTGTCACTGATATGTTTACAAATGTTGTTTACAAATACCGCAACCTTTTTTAATCACGTTTTGAATGTAAATCCCAAGTGATTAAAAACGTTTTTCTTACGTAACGGATTTAATTAATCGAAAGTGCAATAATATAGTGTAATAGTGTAACCGTGTAAATGAAATTAAATAACTAGGCATCATCCAGTTCAGGAACCAGAGATTCTTTGTGTATAAATTGTTCTTGAGTTTTGATAACCAGAAAGAAGACCTTGAATCAGTGTTGTATACGGCTGGGAAACTTTAAATTTAATAATGATCGTCGCCAATGGCTTAGAAATATGGTTTCCACTCATTGACACGGCGCTTCAATGGCGGTTGTGTAAAGTGGTAAGTAAAAAATCACAACTGCAGTGGTTGATTGTAACAGAGGTTTACGGATGATGCTAAACTCGCTTTTCTAATGTGTTATTTTCTGTTCCTACCATTGACTATATATATATATAGTCAATAGTACCTACTCACCGTGTGATGCAATCGCTGGACCATACAGCCATGCTCTTGGGTACGTACGCCTACCCAATTATTCATAACAAACTGTTCGACGACGATCCTTGATACCGGTACTTTTCCCTAGAATACACGGCCTACCTACTTAAGAAATAAAATTACAAACGTCCAAAAACCCAACGTTGTGTGATTTTTGCCACATTTCCTTCTAAGATAGCCTTTACCAATCATTGTTTAGAGAATAGGTACGTAGGGCCTAATCTATTAAATAACAAAAAGTTGTTTGTATGAGGTTTTTTTTTTAAACTGACACCGATAAGTTTACATTAAAAGTTGTTTACAAATAAAGCAATTATTGGGAAATAACTTTGATTGCCGTTTTAAAACGTTTTACGAGAAAATAAAAAACCAAGAGATCAATAACCTCGGGACTTGATTAACTCATATAATTGGTCGGCTGTACTATAGTTCTCAACTGTGAACGTTGGTTTTTGGTACCGGTTCTATTCCTTAGAACCGTTGGTACTGTTGGTAGTAGCAAGAATCATTGTTAAGTACTAACACATCACTGTACTTTACAAATTAGTTATCGTTGGTGTTGCACCTTATTTATTATTACAGGCGTACCCCGGTATTCAATTTAATTGATGTCTTAACTGTACAATTTTTGCTTTTTCTTTCTTGATTCCAAAATGTTAGTTTATGCTAAGAAAACGATAACGCACTTTAGTAAAACATTTATTCAGCTAACCATAATGAATTGTTTAAACGCTTTACGTTGTTTATGTATCAATAGTTCGTGGCCTATTTTGGTAATATTTACTATAAATTACCAATCGTCTATACCAGGGTGGCTGGACCACCCTGGACCAGTCGTCTTCATTTCATATAGTAAGCCGTCATTTCGGGTCATCATAGGTCCAAGCAAATATGCATTGTTATGATGAAATTTGATGACATTAACAAAATATTTTAGATACTAATTTTACAAGTAGGTTATGCTTAAAGCGTAGCAAACCCCCTAATTAAGTTCTGTATTTTTGTGTGTATGTCTGTTAGTAAAGCATTAATGTCCTTATTTCTCAGTGTTTCACGGAAAGGACAAAAGTACCTTTATAATGAAAATGTCAACACGAATAAAGTGTTAAATTGGGAGGTTGAAGTAGTACCTAAAATACTTTTAACCATTGTGGAAGGTAACTTTCAATTATAGGCCTACATTAGGGCTATGCCTCATAGATCTATAAAGCATTTTTTAGTTTAATCATGGGATTTAACATATGGACCAACACGACCCAGGTTACATTTAATTTCGAAGCATTTGTTTTGGCTTGAAACTGTCAGATACTGTATTTGCGAAGGTTTATATACTGTATAATAGTTTTGCCAGCATATCTGAAAAAATGCAAACCAAATTCTGTTCTTAATAAAAAGGTTTCAATAACTGACTACAATAAGATCCCCGTGCGTAGAACGGGCACACAGCTAGTTTTTATATATTTTTTTTTAAATTTTTTTAATATATCGGGAGCAGAACCTGTACCTGAAATCCAGAGACTCCGACTAAAACCCAGATTGCCTCAAGACGTTTTATTATAACCACTTTTTTTTCATTTGTGTTTCATTGGTGGACAGTGCCTTTACAGTCCGACCCGCTAAAACAGTGACAATAAGTGCCTGAGGGGCTAGCCATAGCTGACCTCTACCTATGTTAATGTAATCAATAATGTTATTTTTGTCTTTCTTATATTATACCATAGATAAAACATATGATTATACCTAACCTGTATAGCAATGTAATGCTGATCGGTTAATAAAATCTAAAAAAAAGAACCTGTACCTCTTAACCTCTGCTCTTCTGTCAAATTTAAGTATTTATAGCTGACTTAATTAATTGCTATATTTACATTTCTTTTAAAATGTAAACATGGACAATTTGGAAGCCCATGGGGCGTAGCCCAAGGGAGATATGAAAATTAAATGATATAATATTGCATTGTCATCCATTTGTGAGTTATGTTTCAAGTCTCTAGCTCATCGGGAACTTCGTTTGAAATTGATATCATAAGTCTATACTCTAATACGAGCAATGTTTGCTTGCTTGCAGAAAGATCTCGAAAACGGCTCCGACGATTTTCTTCAAATCTTGTTTGTAATAAAGCAAGCTAATAAAAACACGCCCATGGAGCGTAGCCCAAGGTAAATATGAAAATTAAATGGTATAATATTGCATTGTCATCCATTTGTGAGCTATGTCTCAAGTTTCAAGTCTCTAGCTCATTGGAAAGTTAGTATAAAATTGATCGCAAAATTTGTACCGGACAAGAAAGCGAGCTAATAAAAACGTTTTAAAAAGAAGACAAAGACATTCCTTTTGTGTTTGAGATATTTTGATTTTTTTTTAAGAGGTTGGCGGCCTCTTTTTGCATTTGCCCGTCCACATAGACTACAAATCTGTGCGTGGAACGTATCCAGCAAAGCAAGGGGCGAGCGGCACAGTACAAAGGTGAACTGTACTGATAAAATGTTTGTGGCAGTGACCAAGATCCGAACCCTATCACTGCCTTGGGCCCGAAGTCCGTGACGCTACCAATTGAGCCACCGACTCACCATTAAATTAAATTGCCACAGCTTAGCATATATTTAGCCAGGTAGACCTAATTGTTAAAAGTGTGTAAGATGTCAAGAGTTAAAAAAAAAAATTTTGTCCCAGCTAATTCTACATTTTTTTTCTTAAAATATAATTGCAACAATAATTGATCGACACAAACACACATTCCTATGACACCAGGACCATGTGATACCCTAAAGGGTCTGCGACATAATTGTGCCACTCTCTCTCTCTCTATACTCTGTACCTTGTGGGGGAATTTTTCTCTCCCTTGGGCCCCCAACGAACCTAAAACCATTTTGCGACACTAGGCCGGGCCCATTTATTAAAGCGTTTAATAAACACACTATGGCATAGCTCAACATTGTTAGATAAAATAGATGTCGGTGTAAATGAGTCATCTCAATTCAGCACAAATAGATATTTTTTTGCTAATTAAAATGTAAAAGATTTCAAAGGAAAGAAATATGTTTGTTTCATTTAATAACAAAATTTATTAATCCAGTAACCAGCCATTTGTAACAATTGTCTTAATTTACAGTTATTACAAACTAGACCTACAATACATTTTTACACTGTATAAAATTGATAAATACAGTAAAACAGTCTTAAGTTCTTAAACTTTACATATAGTACAACATTTGTAAGGTATGTTTTGAAGTTCGGCATTGGTACCTTCTATAATTTAGTTCTCTATACTCACAATAAAAACATTCATCATACAAATACTAGTTTTTATTTTTGTTCACAACATTCATTCTTGTTTACTGAAGTAGTTGACTTAAAGAATACCAGATCGATGTGCAAAAATGCACAAAGAGGAAAAACATTGTTCATGATACAAAAGTACAATAAACTAATAAACTATGTATGCTGATCATTGATCGTTTGAAAATAATTGAAAACAACACAAATAAAATCATAATTTTAAATTTGAGAGTTTTCTGATTTAAAAGTAAAGTAACAAAGTAAAATGCCAAATCAGGTATAATTAGTATATAGATTGGAAAGACCTCTTTCAAACTTAAAAATTTTATATATTTAATTTATTATCCATTTTCCAATTCATTAAATTTGATTAAATGCCAATAAAACAAGACTACACTAAAATAATTTCTAATTATAAAAAATAAAGTTAAATAAATTGAATAAAATAATTTTTTATCTGTGTTTGAAGTGTTGAGCATAAAATTAGTTTACAACACTCAAACAATCATAGATAAACGTATGATATTTGTTAACATTAATAAATTATATATTTAATATCAATTAAAAATATAAATATAAACTATCAAATAAAGTTTAACAGTAAAATATCAACTGATATCTTCAACATGAAGAACAAACTATAACATCATTTGTTAACATTGTTAACATCATGTTGTAATATTTGATCTTTGAGGTGGTTGGATGAAATAGGTTTAAATTTATCATTGTGATTTAGAAATTCCTGAGAAATTATTGTGTTGGACTTTGTCCCAGACACCCAGCACTAGTGTCACACACCACTTAAGTGTTTCTGTTCCTAACTTATCTGTGGACAAATAAATAGGGTTTGACAGACTAAAAATAATTTAAGCTTAGATTTTTTCTGGCCAGACTCAAGCTTTAACAGTAAAGACTTTACATTACCAGTTAAGCCAATTACGTCACATTTTTATCTCTATATTTTGCAATACTCAATAGCACTGTTGACAACCGATTTCAAGTTCTTCAATGTCTCTGTTTAGTGTGTAAATTCACTGTTTATGTACAACATTAACAATTGAGCGGTTTGTTCAGTGTTGCTCACAACTCGTCGTGTTTGGGTCCTGAGAACTCTTCGTGAGAGATGAAGCCGTTCTTGTCTTTGTCTTCGTGCTGGAAGATCTCCTCGACGAGTTTGTCATGATCTTCGAGCATCTGTTTGACCTCGTCGGCTGCTTCACTTCCCTCACCTTCGCCTGCAGCGACCATCTGTTTCTTCAGGTACTCGCTTACCTAGAAATAGGTGATTAGATCAGTGATTGATTGTTTAAAACAATGCCGGTAGACCAATGCATAGTCTAAGGCAAAGAGGAGTGAAGGATGAGAGTGTAGAATGAATAAGATTTACTGACAATATTGAGAGGGGTCGACGGTAAAAGGTTGAAATTCTCTTTTAACTTGCATTGGTCCATTGACATGATGGGACTCAAAGGCTTGGATTTCAAACGTATCAAGGGTATCAAGCGTATCAAGGGGTAAGCCAGTCCGGAACAGTCCTAAACTCGGTAGCACTAGGATGCAAACCCACAACGTTGCTGCCTTGGTTTCACATTCTGTCCTACCACTGACTATATACCATAAATATTATGGTATATAGTTAATGGTCCTACCGACTGAGCCACCAATCTACCAGCATACAACAATACTAAGCAAGTTAGTTTGGGATTGATTCAAACCCAGATTTTTTTTTATTTTAGATTTGTGTTAAAGAGATCTTACCTCCTCTCTGCTCAGCATCTTATCCTTGTCGGCGTCGATCTCTTTGAAAACGTTGGTGGTTGGTGCAGAGTCTCCAATGTTGATCAGCTCCACCTCGAATGTCAAAGTGGCTCCTGGCAATCAGAAAAACACTTGACTTTAGCAAACGCTCCAAAAGGTTATACGTGATTACTATATCTTATAGGATACAGAACTGCAAGTTTATGAGTTTTGGAGTTCAAATTTGAGAAATGCATCTTATCACGAAATATAGGTGGTTTGAGTGGAAGTGATTCCATCCCTTCTACCTCAGCCTAACTTTGAACAGCTGATCAGTTGAGGTATACTAAAAAAAGGTGGGGGACCTAGGAAACCTTCCCCTTAAACTGCCTACATTTTGTGATCGGACATGACGAGTACATACAATAAAATCTTCAGGAAAGTTCTAATGGAAACTATGCAGTTTAGTTGCGAACAAAGCTGTGTTGTTACACACAATCCATTGACTATATTATATGCTTGTGTGTTGGAAATGTTTTGCAGGGGAAGGAGTATTGTTCCTAAAGATAAGGGAAAAGCAACCCCTACCAAAAATTCCAATAGAAAATGCTCAGCATATTATTTTTGGCTGTCTAAAAGTGGGGATTCCTTTAAAAACGTTAAATTTATTTCTATAATTTATGTCAAGATTTTGAACCAATAGAAACTACAAACAAAATTACAACCAGGGTAAAAATGAAAAGTAACACAGTTTTATTAATATAAGTAATAAATTTAAGGTTTTTAGATGGTTTGACTGTGTTTTGATGTATTCATTACAAGGTATGGTTGAAATTTATGAACAACCATAAATGATAATTGAAGCAATTACAAAACATATATGCATACAGTAATTTGACATATAGATGCATTTCAAACTCATTAAACTGAGTACAAACATTTTTTTATCTCACAGAATGATTAATCAAGTTATTTCCTCATGCCCAGCCCCCCCTTGCAGCTTGCAGCAAGCATGCTCCTATGCTTTATCACAGTAAAAATGACATTGATTGAGGAAAACCAGATATGTTAAACTTGTAGAGCTGTGCTTGTGACAAGGAAATAACAATGCTTCTGAAGCTGTCAGCTGATGTGATCTGGGCCAGACAATATTGCCAGTGACATCCAGATTGCGACAAACATCAATCTCTCCTTCTCTCAAGGTATATTACTTTGCTGTCAGTCAGTCTTCGGCCTACACTTTTTGGATTTAATTTGCTGGGATATATGCGATAGAGAGTAACAAAATTACAAGTTTTAGTCTGTAGAATGGATTGAATTATTACTCCCTCGTAGAAATGGAAAGCTACAATTTTAAGGTATTTGTTTAAGGTATATTGATTAAGATTTACTATCTAGAATTTTGTAATAACTAACTGATTGATTACAAGGCAAAAATGTGGTTCGGATTCTACCATAAACTGTAGATCCCTTGGTTGCCATTGGCTGTATGGGCTATTAATTAACAGCTGTGTCTAAGGAATATGTCGGCCTTAGTCACTAACAAGACTAAAAGATCAGCCACTCATCCTACACTCATCTCCAGTCATATAATTGGCTTCAAAATACCTACTTTCATATGATCGCCATCTCAAAGAAAAGTAGGTATTAAGTATTTTAAAGTAACAAAATAAAATAATACCGGTAAATAGATTGTTCATATACAGTATATTATGGTTTTTCTGTGGAATTATACAGTAGTTAACGTGCATGTTCCTTAAATGTAACCGTACATTAGACCCACATCAAAAGAACCTTCAATTTAATATTAGGATAAGAAGTCTACTAGCAGTAGATTAAGTCAATGGATCAACTAAAGACGTAGGTAACGTACAAAACCAGAGTGAGCTAATGAGTAATAATAGAGATCGATGGCTAACGTCCACTAATTATTTTTCTTATAACTATGAAAAGTGGTTATGTTAGGAAACTTTTTTTAACACTCTGTTTTAGATGTTTAGTCCATTAGCAGATTAGTAAAGATTTAGAGTGGTTTACAGCAAGGTGCACATTTTAAGGTGTACAACTTAAGTTCCCTATGCGAAGCCGATAGTTAGTGTATTTAAAGTTACCTGATGCCTACTGGTCTCGTGTCAATGTAGCTTCTGAAAATTGAATGAATGAGATAAAAGGGACTGACAAAAATCAGCTGTTTTTTTCATTCTGGATGGTTTTTACTCCAATAATCAAAGACAGCTGGGTCCAGCTTCGAACTATCACAAAGTACTAACTTCACAGGACTGAATCAGCAACCTTGTGATTACCAAGTGCACACTCTACCCTTAGCTCCACCCACCTCCAGGGATGACGGAGCCTGCTCCCCTGTCTCCGTAGGCAAGTTCCGGAGGGATGGTCAGTTTCCTCTTCTCCCCCACACACATGTCCAGGAGTCCCTGGTCCCATCCCTTGATCACCTGACCAACACCCAGCTGGAATGTGAAGGGCTGCTCCCTGTCATGGCTGAAAATAAAAAAGAAACATTACTTACTTTGTATTCGACGATTGATTCCTGGAATTTGGAATTAAAATCTACCGAGGGCTATGAACCCTCGACTTCGATTCCCAGAGATTCATGGTATTATTGCTACTGGATCACAGTGGATGAGTGGAATATTGGAGATGGAGTAAATACCTGCCAATAGCACTCCACATATTATTCTCACAAACTAGTTTTGACACAATAGTGTTGCACTCTCATGCTGTACTACTATACAACTTGGGTATGGGTACTACAACATATTTTTACGTTTGTCATCTTCTACTGAAGAGAAAATATGTAAACACCCTTAAAAATTCAAGTCTAATTTTTTTAAATGGGAATTTTCATAATTCATTATGAGTGTTATTACACCAAAAGAAGATAGAAGCTATCAACATTTATGAGTTTACCAGTTTACTTTCAAATAATAACTTGATTGATTTCCTCAATATGTTTCTGAAAAGCTAAAGTTGCCATTAAAAAGTGTGTGTGAGAATGTGGGATTAAAAGGGCTAAATCGCAGAAGTGTTAATGAACTGAGTCATTAGCAAGTTGATAACAGAGTTTATAGGCAATATTTCTTTAAGGCCATTTATTTGCTTGTCTGATTTTCAATTAACATTTATCTCCAATCCCCTTCTTTAACCCTTGTTGGATGAAGTGAGTTCTATTGCTGATAAAAATAGGGAATTTATTCTTGATTGTTTGTGTAATATTTAAAATTTTTTAATATTTTAAACACAAATTCAAAGTAATACAAATCGATAAAATTCTTGATCGGGAAATTAGTTTTTGTCTCATTACCTTTAAAAATTATGTATGTAACAGTTCTTTCGTGTGCAGCAAAGTGCCACTTCGCCCCCTAGTTACTCAAATAAGTATTGCTATTTAAGATAACCAGCAAAAAAGTTCAATCAAATTTGTCTAGGTAACTGAGAAGTTATAGCGATCTCTTATCTGTAAGTTGCTGGTCCCATCCCAAGGGGTGTCTGATGTTTTAAATCCATAAGCTATTTCTTGTTGGGATATATAGATATATAGATTGATTATAATATTCAAGCAAAAGTTGAGAATCCAGCACATAAAATAGCAACAAGACCAGAATTTTTAATGCTCAATAAAAAATGTAAATGCAAAAATTAACAGCTTAAACCAAAAGAAATGCATTGTAATTAATAGATTTTTCACAAAGATTATCAGTCCACACTTTTGAGTTAGGGTAACCAATTTCTCCTAATATTTCATGTCAGGGCTGCCAACTTGTTAGCAAGACAGACTCCTCAGAACTCAGAAGCCATGTTTGGACTGCTACATTATTTAAAGACCTCTTCCACATTTAAGGGCTCCTTCGGCTCTTTGCAGCAAAGTGAGGCTTTCTTGTATTCCGTTTGATAGTTAATTCTTAAGTTAACTCTTTGGACAGATAACCATGCAAGGTGAAACTCACCACTTTTGTGTTTAGGCTACCTTTTGACATCGATTAAATTGTTTGTTTTTGAGTTAAATATATTATTGTTATCAAACAAATAACATATTACCCCTAATAGATACAATCACAAATACATGTTTAAAGGAAAACAAATCGACGGAAAAGTGATGTCATTAATTTGTCTTTATTGTGAAGACTAATCAAAAGTTGTTGTAATTTTTTATCTAAACACAAAAGTTTGTTTAATTTATTTGAAAAATTTTTCAGTAGATTATTGACAACTACCTACATAATTGATAAATATTGCAATTTGAAGCTAGGTACTGTATATTAGAACGGATTTGAGAATATAGCAGCATATGCTACATAATCAAACACCAACCGATTTATTGATAAAAACCAAACATTAAAAAATTGTCATAAAAACTAAAAGTCTGTTTTAATTGTCAAATTCCATGAATTTAGCTGGCCACAGATATTTGAACCTACTAGTGTAAAGTAATAAAATACAAGAATGGTCCAATAATGGGAGGGTCTGAGAAGTATGCCAGGCCTCTGTCTCTCTGATAACAGTGTGACTGATAAGACTAGAGATAACATTTATGACAGGCCATGTTGGGTTCGAAACTTTGGTTCATGACACAAGTAAAATAATGCTTTGAAAATTTGTGTAGGACATAAAAATAATGTTTTTAAATTTGTGTGGGACATTAAGGTTATCTTAGCTGTAATGAGTTTTAAAGTTGGATTTGACGATATTAGTATAATTATGTAATTTTTGTGGCATTTTGTGGAGGAACTAACTTCACAGAAATACTGCTAGTTCAAGAGACCAGATTATTTTAATTTTCTAGAACGGTATATGTATAGCCCTAGGAGGTTTGAACCGGGTTACATTAATACTACAGTATGTGTAATCAAATTGTTAGTGATTTGCGGGTTTTGAATCTAAGCCTTCAGGATAGAAGTGCACACTCTAATCGGTATACCAGCTGTTATACTAGGTATTTTTTTGTACAAGAACCTACTTAAAGTAAAAAATAAATACGAAAGGTTTCAGTTGCAGAGAATTTCGCCTTTGGTAAAAACTGTTAGAGCAAAACTGAGCTAAGAAGTTGCACAAAGTATCCAAGATGGGAAAGTTGGAACCGCTTGGAATGCAATAGTTGCTCGTAAGCCAGTTACATCGATTGTCACAAAGTTCGAGTCTACCAGCTCCAAGCTTGTAGGATTTATTACTTAACTTTTTTTAATTATTTTTCCAAATGATTAATTTCATAACTTTCGACCAAGACTGCGTGAACACAAGGTAAACAATTAGTGGATAAGTCGAGTTGTCGAGTTAAGTAATTAGAGGTTATGTACAGTAAAATGGATCATGAGCTGTTTAATATGTACCTACGTTTTAATTGTGACGTTAATATCTTACGTTGTGCAATTTTATAGCTATTAGTTCAGTATAGTAAATGTTTTTTTTTTTTTATACCTCTGAGGCAACATTTTATATTAAAAAGTCCAGACTATGATGTGGTCAGTGGTAATACAACGGTACGTCCTGGGAAAATGTAATGAAGAGTATGTTGCTAACGTAGTTTATTTCTTTTGCAGTTTTTTGCTCCCTTATTTGTGGACCAATTTCAACGTTTAAGGTGTCAAAAGATTTATCTCAATATGTAGTTTTGCAATAAGGTTTTAGAAATTTAAAATTATTAATCTTAAGGGCGTGAGACCCACTCAAATGTCGGGGTTTCCCCATAAGAAATACATAGAACAAATTTAAAAACAAAAAACAGCTGTTTATAAAAAGATACTCATTAGCTTTTTGGGAGTAAAGATTAATGTTTGTAACATTCAAGGTTAAGACCAAGTTAAACAGTTTATCAGTTTTATTGGAAGAACAGAAAATGCCTCAAGTTCAAATTGAAAACGGGAGGAGGAGACAATTAATAGATATCTATGCGTATGAGGAGAGTAGAAAAAGATATGCCTGGTCTAACAGATACCCATCCAGATACACATTCCCTTGGTGAGATGAATAATATTTGCCAGTTCTGCTATGCAACTTACTTTAGAAGTGAAAATATATACGAAGCACATATTGTTTTCACGGTGGTAAAGTTAACTTGCCTAATGTCAGATCAAATCAATGCATGCAAGAAATGTTTACTTCTGATACTGCCAGATCGAGATATTTCAAAACATTTAGTAGAAACTATAATAATGCCTTGACTATGATAAGTTAAAGTAGTAAGATTATACCAAATCTTGGCAGACCTTATGTTTTTATTGTAAATTTTTGTATTACTCGCTCTACTTCAATTGAGCAAAAACGCAAATGGATTGTTTAACCAACTTTCAATGGGGTTACTGATTTAGCATATTCAAAGCAGATTATGGCTGTCCAGTTGGTAACCTAGAGTTTGTGGGTAAAAAATGGAGCACATAAAATGGTTGATATTACCCCACTTTTCAGGATTCTCTACGGAGAAAAATTCGTTTGATTAGGGGGATGCCTCAAATCAAAGAAATAAAATGACCCAACTTAAATTACTTAACACAGGTTATCAGCAAGGCAAAAGTTTTCTTCAATCTTCAATGCTGTAGGTAATAACTTTGTTGCAACATGTTAACTCGAATTGAAGCAGCACGTTTAGCATTCATTATAAGTTATCAGTTAAAGCCGAGAGGAGAAATAATGTAGGTGTAGGTGAGTCTTGACGACGCAAATAGAGGTATTTAAATAAACAACTCTAAGATGTAACTAGAATTACTCGAATTTATGCATAACGTTTTCCTCGGTGTTATATTTCATGCTATGCGGCTCATTGAGCCGCACGGGTTCTCTAGTGTTACAATAATCTACATCAAACTATATTCACGGTATTTGCCAATACTAATACTGCTTTATTACCACATGTTCGGGTTACTGATAAAAGTACTGTACAAAAGAATCCATTGTCTGTGATTCTATCAAGTAGGCCTACCTAATCGTATATACAGAGGTTAGGGTTTTTACGACGGTGACGCGTCAGGGTGCGTTATAAGGCGTAGACAAGTGAACAAGATAGTAAAACGAACACAAATAATGTTATATCAGGGACACGGAGTAGGTAGCAGAAGTCCTTTAGTAAAGGATGAGTCTCTGACATGTGCGTGGAGTTAACATTTGAGTAATGTAAGCGAGGGTGTCCTACACAAATACCCAAAACTGTCACCGAATGAAATACAGCCCATGCGATAGTTATCCGATATAGATAAAGTTCACCTTGCCTAAAATATCTCATCTATATTGTTTTAGATATAACCTTTGACTATTTGATATTGTATTAATAGTCAATGATTTAACATACAGCCGGTTGGCCTTGTACAACAAATTCCGTTGTTAACACATAGATTTTGGTGATTGGCGGGATTCTAATCCGGACTCTATGCCAGAAACCCCGAGCTCTAATCCTTGGAATAGCCGGATCCCCAAGACATGTTTTTACAATTCACGTATATCGGAGGCAAGGAAAAGTGTCTTGTAAGAGTTGTATAAAAACTTCACACACA